ACACTGAATCGAGAATACACATCATAACGATTGAAGTCATACTGTGATAGCCATTCGGATCAAAATTTCCATCTAAGACTAACTAGAACTTCGTTGTTATGGCTCATTTGTCAATGGACAATGAATATCCATGGATGTGATCTGGCTAGTGATGGCGACACAATAATGAGCAGTTTTTGTCCCTAACAATTGGTGGATGAGCTTTAATAGATCAATAATAGGAGACTTATAGAAGCAATTCCACCAAACATATATGTATCAACACGGTAAAATCGCATCGAGACGCTGTTCAGCTATTCCAAAGGCGCTAAACCGCATATGTACTAGTGTGCCATATTGGGACTAGTGCATATAGATGTGCTGCCAAGGCTTAGTGTACATAGGGCTATCTTCGATGGATTGACTGCTTCCAGTCATCCATTTCAATTTGAGGTACGACCGTAAAATAGAATAGAATTGTGGGCTTAATTGGCTGAACTGTGAGATTGGAGGCTGGTACAATCTTCATTGATCAAAGGTAATACAGGCAAAACGTTGGATGTGGTCTTTTGTATGCAAAGGAGAGACTTTGGGAAGGAGGGCAATCAAACAGGTATGTTACCTAGGTAAACCAGGGTACCGTGATTAAGCTTGTCACATGCTTCTTCAATCTCGGAGAAGAGTTCTGGTTTTCACCTGTTGCTTTTCATCATACCCTTATCACATTGCTGATCTGCACTTGTACTCTAAGGTAAGCTCCATCATCAGACCGATGAAGCGTCCTTCCTCCCACTCCAGTGCAAGTGGATGAGAGAGATAATGGCACCTGGACCATGGGCCATCCATATCCACAAGCTACCCTTTCGAGTGGCCAGACAGGGCGATATTCTGCAGGGGAGATACTTGGGCGCTTTACATGCAATGCCTAGTCAGCGAGAGCCATGTCTGCGTCGTGGAATTGATTGGACGGCTCCGCAGTTCCAGCAACAGATGAATGAACGACAGCCTGCCCCGCGTGGAAGCGGCATTGATGCAGGTGGTGGGTCAGCAAAATGAGCTACGATGCACAAGGTGCCGGAGACAGTTTGGGAACTTTTCCCATTGTATCTCGGTTCGCGGAATCGATGGACTTTCAGCCTGCGGCAATTGCCATTGGGCACAGGCGGACACCCTTTGCCAATACGCGACTTTTATCCCACCTGCAGCTAGACCTGGTGATGACGCCTGCTCCCTGAACCGACCACTCCAGCGACAGGGGATGGTTCAGCATATGGAAGAGAGCATCTGGCTCGTGAACGAGTTGCGGGTGGTCTGGGAGAGAAGCCAGAGTCTTGAAGCTGAGCTGGAAGGACTTCAACGTGGCCTGACTGACACCGGTACTACCATTACCCCGACTGGCAACCAATAGAGCAGACCCTGAGTGAGATCCGTGCGTCTCAGCAGGGGCTTTATCATGGAATTGGACGTAGCATTATGCATGTCCGAGACATAATGAATCCTAGCCGACAGACCCCGTCCTAATCTTCCTGATCCAAACAAGACATACTGAGTGAATGGACTCCTCCCTTTTATGTCTTTGGCCTAGGTGTACCCATAGGCGTGCCAGTTTTTGATTCTCAGCATCCTCCTGTCTCGAGTTACTTTTCTTTGCTTTCTTTACATCTGTATCAATAATAGCTTTTGATCAAAACTACCAGTTACTCTAATATTCAATAGGGTATCAGTGTAACTTAAATCTTTAGTTAGCCAAGATGGTGTCAATCCTGTTGGGCTATACTTTGCATTTGTTCAAAGTTAACTCGTCACACACAGGTATCTACATAAAACACTTAATTGATGGTGTCCGAGGAACGCATCAAGTCGAGGTCTGTTAATAACAGAATTTCTGATTTTGAGGGCGTCTCTAGGGCTGCTTTGGAAAATTTGTTATAGCTTTCGGGGTCGGTATAGTTAATAGTTAACTTGACTAGTAGCATAGCTAACAAGCTTCTGGCCTTTCTAAGGTTACCTAGGTACCTAGAGTCTCTTTTTTTAAAAAAAAACTTTTGTAAGTAATGTACTACCCCTGGAGGTGTTGAAACCTCTCATATGTCACATGGCTTCCCCATGTAGACTAGTCATCTGCCCTTTCTTCTTTCCTACTGTTCGAATTTACAGGAGAGATAGGTCATAAGAAATGCATAATGTAATGTATTGTGGTGGATGGTTGTTAGATACAGAGAGAGGAAGAAAGGGTAGAGACTATCTATATGGTGGAGACTAGATTATGTCACTTGAGAGAATTGAACACCTACAACTATCTGAACATACAATACAACCATATTGTACCTCTTTCATGATCTCCCCTGTAGGTTCTAATAAGAGGATGGAAGGGGAGTTAGACTGACGGCCTGGGGAATACGGCAGAAAAGTGGGCATGCCACGGGCTTGTCCTCTTGATCTTTCTTGGTGGACGGTGTAGAATAATTCCAGCATCAGACTTGGGGGGTGCCTGGGTATTAGGAAATGTCGATGTAGGATATCAGGCAACTAGGTACATATTCGGCCCGCATGTTGTAGCGTTGATTTCGCTAGTGAAGGTCGATTTTCGAACGACGTAACCATGGTAGTTAGCACTGTGATCGTCAGCACTAACTAAATTGTGGAAAAGATACAGCGTATTTTACCACTACACCACAACAAAATCAAGGTACTTGTGTAAGGCCTAGTGGGGCCATATCTGTTCTGTTTCTTGTTTGACATAAATAAAACGTCTCAGTGATCTCCACTTCACCGTTCGGCCGACACAGACTTATATCCCCGGGAGGGGAAGAACCCCGAACTAGGGCCGGGTCGTCCCCTCTCATCGCCCTATATTGATCCATCCATGGATACTAATCGTGGCACGGACCACCGAACATCTGGTAGGTGCTGGTGGTCCGTGCCACGATTACTCCGTATGTTGTGCATATCCACTCTCCAACTGGGTTTTAGGGCAAAGCTGAGGGCGTTAACGAGAATACCAGTTTGTTTCCTTTCCATTAAGAGGAATAGGGTGGGCATGTCTATGATACTGGTACAACAGCTCCTTCGGCGTAATGTAAAAATTAAAATGTTCCAGACCCAAGACTTACCCGTCGCTCAAAGGTGGTGGTAGCTTGAGTAATCTCTTCTTCCGCCTCCAAGTCTTCCGGGGAATAACTTGTAACAGAAACTTCTCGGTCGCTCCTCCAGTTATCTTACACTCCGTACGAGCTCCGCGCATTTGAGATACTAGAAAATGTTTCACCGAGTCTTCAATGTTTGAACATCTGCGTGGTTTATTCTTTTATTCCATTGTTTCTTAATGCTCGTTGGACGAGAGGTACCTTGTGGGTAAGGAAAGGGGTCAAGGAGAGGGAAGCAGCGACTTTCTTGCACAGACCCTTGGTGAAGCCTTCCTGCCCTTCCAAGACCTTTCTAGTTTGTAACTATTGGTGACTTGGCAGATTCATCTACTTATAAATCAATCCCCAGTGTATTCCAACTACCGGAGCGAGTACTAAAGGATATTTCCATCAGGGAGATTGCACTGGGGTGGGTTTTCCAAGCATGGAACCTAGTATCCAGCCCTTGTTAACTATGTTAAGTGACCCACGAGGAGGTTCTCAGTGCGCCCTTTCAATTTACTTTTTCTTGAGCCACACTCATGGTGAGCTCTACAACCGATAGAGGCTGTAATTGGAGCACTGAAGCAAAATGGCATTTTTACGCGCACGCTGTTAACAGTTGAATACCTTTGTCTCCAATTGAAGCCAGAACTCAATACCTCATATGATGCGACAATTATCTCTTGACAGTGCAATTTATTTACCTACAAAACGCACGCATACGCCAATAATTACACCAATGATTGCTCCAACCACAAGCCCTACAGCTGTCCACACGACAAAATACTTGATCACCCGTCGTTTGGAGCCGGTATGCCACTCCAACTTCACATCTTTCATAGTTACAACAGGTCGTTTCCCGCGGAGATCACGAGCATCTTCCAGATCCATGGACTGTGTTATATGTGTGCTCGTGCGAGCGACTTCGGGTATTGTTGGTTCCATGATGTCAAGGCAGTGCTAATCTGATGTTGAGTATGAACTTCAATTTGCTTGGTTGTCAATAACAGTGTCTGTTTGGTTTTCAAGTTACGTGCTTTGTATTGACACTCACATGCTTCCTTAGGAACGAAATTTGACGTCGTCTGTTTTGAAATGCGTGCCCGGTCCTGGAGGAAGGGATTGGAAAAGTCCCTCAGTATTATCCGGTAGTCTGTTGCCCTAGACGAAATGAATCGCAACTTTTTAGTCGGACTTTATAGGGTCATAGCCTCTGCGTCCTACGTACCTCACTGACTTGATGCAAAAGTTCAACTGCTGCTTGAATCGACTCATAGCAATGGAGCTGGTTTCGGGGGCCGGGGGGGGGGTTCAACTCCTATATGACGGAGGACCCTTGTGGTCTCTTAGTTCTAAAGGGGAGCTGGTTAGACAATCCCGAACCAACCCGACATCTGATGTATACTGTAGTCCCATGGACCTTACGTATCGCTCGCTAATTCAATGATGCCGCTATTTATAAATTACTGTTACTCGTAAAAAAAAGATCTGCAAAGCAAGACCCACCGGGTTCAATGGCCCCAACATTATGGGGCTTGGCAAGACCCACAGAGTGGAACCTATGTATAACGCTAGTACGGTGAAATACTAGGAACCGTGTGCTTACGACTTCTTCGCTTGCGAGCCTTACGAACAACCTCGAATTGTGTTGAAGGATGACACGCCTAGGCAAAAAGTGACTGCTTCAAATACTCCGTGGCCAATATTTTATGTCCCAATCATGCAAGGACCGCCACGACGCGGAAGATAAGCATCTCCAAACCCTCTAGAAAAGAAATCTATGCAGATCTAGGTCCTGATGAAAATTTATACCTATGGTTCAAGGTTTCTAGCAGATCTCACAGGAAGCTGGTGCAAAAATGCCTCAAGACTATAGTTCAATTCTAAACATAACTAGCCCGCAAGGCCCACAGCAATTAAGGTGGCCACTGCTGGGTATAATGCTGGATTCTCGTTCAACAGCAAGGAAAGTCGTCCTATGTAGGGCACATGGCCCCGAACTAAACCAATTATCTCCTCTCGGTGGACGTACGATTGCCCCACTGGGTAAAAGAAGCTATCGTCGAATTGACAGTTATCGCCTTTGGTCAATATAAGTTGCCTTGATGAGATCAGTATCGCCTAACTCGATGCGGAGTAAAAGTGCGAAGTACCTTGGTGTGTTTTCTTGAACATCGGATTCGTCGAGGATCGTGATGGCTGGGTGGACCATTGGCAAACGGCGCCCAGTAAACCACACAACAGGGATATCTCCCACATTAACTTTTTGTTGATGATTCCATAGCATGATGAGATCCCCTCAATAAAGCGCTGGCTCCATTGACTCCGACGAAACCACCATTATGGGATGTGATGAACCTGTGATCATGCACATCCTCTTCCAAGTTGAAAAGATGAGCCCTAAAAACAGTACAATGGGCAATATGGGACTGGTGATGCTTTTGAGGCTGGATGTCGAGCTCGACATTGAAGAAATTGCTGCTCATGGAGGAGATCGGGAGTTATGTCGAGGGGCAAGGCTCACAGAACCCGAAACCTAAGAATTAGGCCGATATTAATCTTGTGAGCCCGGCCCCTCAGACTTTATGAAGTTTGCAAAAGCTCCACCACAAGCCATTGAGGCATTTATTGCATGGTTGGCCCCTTTGCTGGCGAGGCTGTTTATTGGTTGTACCTTGGGTTTTGTCCGATAGAGTAATTATATGGCGGTGAACTATTTTCTTCATATTGCATTTGGTATACAGTAGTATCTACGAAGTGATAGTAGCAATGAGTGTAAATGCATGCTCGATACCCCGCACCTGTTAGTGAATTCAGCCTCCCCGGCAAGGCTGAGGTGACCATCCATCAACAAAAGACGTACAGTCCGCTCTCGTCTAATTTACCATTCTATTATAAAGCATGGGTACAAATCACGATGGCTAGTCAGAGAAAGTCGCACGTCTTCCGGGTGACAGGCTTGTCGAGGAAATTGCCCGATGGGAATCTCAAGACCGCTTTGCAAGAGGTGCCCAACGACAACTTCACGGACGACGAAAGATCGCATATCAAGGTGGAGATCACAGTCGTGCCTTCATGCTATAAACATGACACACAAAGGGTGGCGCTGGTGCAGTTTCGCGGTGGGGTGCCTGGGTTCCTTCATGAGCTGACGGTCGATCCTCTTAAAGACTGGCAGGTCGAGATGGGAGATGAAGATATCACTTTGACTGCCACTTCTTTGGATTTACGCGGCTCTACGCGCCGGACGAAAATGAGGCAGTGGTTGCAGAGTAAGGACCTGTGCCGTTATCTACGTCAAGATGAATACCAACTCATAACGCACGATAGTATTATTGCTATTGCCGGACTGGGTGGACATGCGTATGGATCGTGGCGGGGCAGAGGAAATCTCGGTCGGATGTGGCTCCGGGACTTCCTGTCAAAAGATCTTCCGCAGTGCCGCACAATGATCTACGGGTACAACTCCAAGCTGTCGAGCCACGGAGTCGATACGATCCTCGACTACGGGCGGGAGCTGATGGAGGAGATTAAGAAGATCCGGAACACGAAGGAGGTAGGAGAGGCTATCTGACTTGTCTATTAATAGCAAGTGTGGGCTGATTGTTTGACTAGCTCCAGCAGAGACCTCTGATATTCATCGCGCACGGCTTTGGAGGCATTATATTAGCTCACGTAGGACCACCACCCGAGTAGAGTTGAGGTATTAAATATTATATGCTGACATCACTTATAGTGCTTGGTGAGGGCCATCCAGACAATGGAGGAAGACCACCCGGCGATCATGTCGCTGCATCGAGCCACGTACGGCATGATCCTCTTCGCCACCCCCCATAAAGGATTAGTGGTGGACGATATCCAGCAGATGGTCGCTGGGGATCAGAGCCACCCGCGAGAGCAGTTGCTGCAGCAGATCTCTAGTAAATCGGACCTACTGACCCACCAGCTGGCCGACTTTAAAAATCAGATACGGGACCGGAAGGTGGTCAGCTTCTATGAGACGGAGCAGACGAGGCGGTTGGTATTGGTACGTGTTGGTCTTTGCATGAAACAGGCTGTGACATATACTGACGTTCTTACCATCTATATTCTGTCGTCTCATGGCCAGTGGCAGACGAATGCAAATTCCCCGCAATATGACACTCATCGCTCAGCGTTTGTCAGACTAATTACCGATATAGCTCAGCACCTCTAAGTTAGGGAACAATCAAATAACCTAAGACAACATAAGTAGACAACTTTAATAGGCAAGAAGAAGTAAACGGTAAAAGCGATAAACCCACAAATGAATGTTGAACTTGATTTGAATCAATGATCGAGCAATTATCCCCTATATACCTGCCTCGGCATCTGATTGTAATTTTTGTTGATGCAACGATAACTGTCTCTTCAGATCTCACCGGACGGTGGCGGGCAAATCATCCGAGACCTTCCCTACCGTTCGCCTGAAGCCTATCCTTTTATCACATCCCGATTCATCAACATACAAAAGGTGATAGGAATAGAAATCCGAGATAAAGTGGGAGTATTTATCGCGGAGGTCGAAATTACGCTCTCTGGTCCGCCCTGTTTGACCAGCGTTTTGATACAAACGCACGACTGATGCTGGACCTCGTTGCTTGCACATCAAACTCGTCCCGCAAAAAAACCGCTGTCTCATCAAGGTAAAGTTGGGGTTTTCGAGCAGGTGCTGACAAAGGGGCTCTAGCACCTTGATTCATGCTTCACGGCCTTCCACCTTCATCAAGCGGTGCTTTGACGCTGCCGAACGTCCGGATATTGGAAGATATTCTCATGTCAGTACGCTCATTGCAGCCAGCAGCCTTTGGCATCTGTAATACAGATAGTTATCCACTGTGGATTATATCATGGATAAGCTCGTCCTTTGAAGGGGCTATGTTGGGCGCCATTCTGATTTGACCACTTGTGATTGACTGTCATGATCTGCCCGTACCAAGGGACGAAAATTTTCAAAGTGGAGTATCGAGGTGTCAATTGTATTACTGTTATTAGAGTATTAGTTCACCACAGTCCCATCATTAAACATGACCATTATCCTGTAACTTGCAACATACAACCCCAAGCAACTGTCAATTTTCAGCTAACCTCAGGCTCCTAGTAAACTTATTAAATGCAATCACGTCATTATAGGAACTGTCTTCATCCTCGATGTGTATATATATTAGACGTCTGCATACATAGTACCCATAAGCAACCGTCCGCCCGCTATTTGAAGGGTAAATCCGGGCGGTTTACCCTCAGTGCCACCCGCCCCTCACCTTCATCACGAGCAAAGCTATATAGCTTTCCCCTGTGCCCTTTGCTCTTGACCCAACGCTTGACGTCCCGATCATTCATTCGATCCGCCTTCTCCAGAATCGCCGCCGTGTCCTCCGAGTACACCTGTGAAACCGCCTGCCAATGATTCCCTAACAAAGAATGGCGCGTGTAGCGTGCAAACAAGCCCACGACGATGGCCACCACCACCCAGTGGACCAGCAACAACCCCATCCCTACCCCGAATCCCGTCCATTGAGTCGGGAACACCGCCGCGTCCGAGAAGGTGGCCTCGGCAACCTTGCTCTCGTCGATTCGCTGCAGCATATCGTAATAGGCCATCTGGCAGATGCGCGTGAGGAGCGCTTGTAGGGCCATGGCGGGGCTCTGCGTCTGGTTCAGAGTGTCCTGGAACAAATCGATATGCGCGTCGTGCGCTTTGTAATCAGCGCTTGCCCACGGGGAGAAAATGACGCCCGCGCTGACCATCTGGTTGCGATGCTCCGGCGTGAAGTCCACGCCTGCCGTCTGCGGGGTTAGCAGACTGCCGACGACGGCATCCGCCAAGAGCTGGGTATTCACGACGTAGTGCTGGTAAGCGGAGACGTTCCCTGAACTGGAGAAGGATTGCCAGTCCGAGCGGGGGGTGAGAGCGAGCACGCCCCGGTGGTCTAGTGGTTGACGGGGGTGGATAGCACCCAGCTGGGTAAGCGTAGTTGCAGTGTTGTAGTGCTCCGTAGAGCGGTCCCAGGACATGGTGGGCTCCGACCCCTCCCACTTGCTGTCCAGGCCCGCGGTGAACATCTCTACATCGAGATTGGTCATACAGGCCGTCACCCGCACCGAAGGGGGATCGGCCCCGTTTCCGAGCATCACCCAGGGACTACTAGTACTGCCGTTGTTCCCAACGCTGTGGACTTCTTGCGTCACGCCGCGTCGGATGGCCGCCGAGGAGACGATGTCTAGAAGCATAAACATCGCGGATGCATCTACATAGGCGTCCAATGATGAGTCATTGATGAGGGCTAAGGGTGGCACCAGGCGGCCTTCCACCGAGACATTCCAGCCCGCGCCATCGTTCGGCCAACATAAGCTCGTCTGTGCTTGCGCCCGGGTAAAGTTCGTAAACAGGCTGGTCAACGCGCACGTAAACGGGAGGTAGGGCTGACTCTCCGTCATCTGTAACATTGGATACGTGCTATTAGCGATGGCAATCTGTCCCGAAAGACGCGGGTAGCCTATGTTGAGCGCGTCGAGGCGAAGCTCACGGAGTGTAGGTTGCACACAGACAACCCGTTGATCAATGATTGTGACTGGGCCCCGCAAATGGCGTATCGATGTCCGCTGCGCCACCTCTGGATAAGGTAGGAAGGCGCGGTACGTGTGACCTGTATCATCAAACTTGGGCCCAGTTACAGACGGTTCCGATTGCTCGGCAAACGTCCAACCGGCCGCCGGAGGCATTGACCACCACGGCTGGCTGAGTGTCGTCCCTCCGTAATCATTCAGGATCCGGACATTAGTCGCGTTACTGGGTCCAGTAAATGCGCCATTCCCGAAGTCAGCCAGGAGAAGGGTGGAGAGGAGCTGCACGGCCATAGTCACCGACACTTCCAAGAGAATGAGGGTAACGATCACGACCGAGAGGCCGGTTCCGCGCAACGGCAGACTCGAGGTCCATAGAAAATTACTCGGGCTCCCACTTAGAGCGCGCGTAATGGAATAGAATGGCCCATCCACTAGGGGAGCGCCGACCCGCTCTATAATAATGCCGGCAAACATCGCGGTCGTCACGCTGGCCTGGGTTGTAACCACCGTACGTAGAATGGCCGTGCAGATGGTGACGATCCGCGCGGTCCAGTTTGCTCTGATGACCGCGATCCAAGCTCTGCTTGGTTCTTGCCCTGCGGCTGCTGCCATGGACTCGGCCCAAAGCCAGGCCAAAGGTAGGACTGGCAAGATAAGCATGATTGAGCCAAGGACCAAAATAAGGATGTGAACGGTCCCGAGTCGGGCCCATATAGAGGTCCGTTTGTTCGCAACTGTGGATTCATCTTGAGTCTGGCTGTGAGCGTTATCAGGGGCCGACAGGGGTGTATACGCGACAGCGCCACTGTCTCTGGGCCGTGCCATAGCAGGTCAGTAGTGGCATCAAATATCCAAAATGACCTTGGCAGGTGATGATAGTAGTAGTAGAAGAAGAAGAAGAAGAAGAACGATACATACTCACATTGGGCGTTTTAAATAGCGACTCGGGGAGGTACCAAGCAAGCCTTTCCGTGAGAAATAATACAGCAAAATACCACTAGGCCAACCAAAATTATAGGTTCTTGTTTAGGGCCTAGATGGGCCATATCCCAATCTGACAATTTCCACAACCCTGCCCATGTGTCCTATGCTGCTATGTTGCATTTGCTAATACAAGCGTTAACTCATTGGGTAAGGATAGTCAGTGTACCCGGCTCACGCAGGTGTCTGACTGGCATAGAGCATGCGCTGAGCAGAGAGGTGAAGAGCGTCCGACAAATCAAGTCATGGTAATGGTTAGAGTGGCTTGACGAGGTACATGCCCAGGCGGACTAGTGCTTACGAATTATTTATTTTCCAAGCGGTTGGTGGTGGCGCTATACGGTGAGGATTCGTGATTATTAATGAGAAAAAGATCGGGTCCAATTTTAGTGAAGAGCCGCAAGCCTCCTCAATTGCCCGTCGCTCAAAGCAGGACAGCGCAGGCTGTACTCGTACTCCGTATCAGGATCTAGAATGCTGTGAGCTGACCATCACCGGAAGCTCTCTTACCATGTGAGATCTTTGATCTGGCGCTTGATAGGCGGGTTCATAAAGTATTCTTTCTTTTTGCCTTCTTTGCTATAAATAACGTAGTAGCTTTATCGCTATTACGCTTGGCCACCCCGAGACAGATGTAGATAAATAGATATATCGGCATCCGTAGAACTTTTATGTACCGCCTTCGAACATACGGAAAATTCATTACCTATCGGTCGAGTCGGATGAGTTTAAGACTAAATTCGACCTAGGGAAGCGACATACTTTCCATGTATTTGAATGCGCTGTCTGCTTCCCCTATCTGCTAGAAACTGAGGGTCCGCGTTTTTAATGGGTTTATCTAGAAACAACCAAGCTCTAAGGAACAACGAAAGCTGGGGTCATGTGCATTTGTTAGTACCCTGGCATCCCCCAGGCTTCCAACCAAAAATCATTTCGTTTCCTCACTGAGCAGGGGGGTGAGCAAGGGGGTGAGTACAGTGGATGGATGGATGGATGGATTTCATTTACCCTGACCCCTCGCAATGTAAAGCGATATGCAGGTTACAACAATTATATATATCTCTGTACGTACATCTAGAATGACCCACTTCCTGAAAACGAACTTAGAGCCTCGTCAAGGCCTGTCGTAGCCCTGCAATTCCCATCGGGCCCTTATCGTACATCAAGGAAGGAACCAGAATGGACCAAGCGCGATCTCTCCAGGCCTTTGTACAGAAACGGACCACGGCGTTCATCCGAACCGACTGTCCGTGTCCTGGTGGTTTGCATATCCAGGAGACCTCAGAGCGAGACCCCCGACGCCTCCGCCATGTATCCCAATGGAAAGGTCCAGAGGAAAATTATCAGAGATGGCCCATTGTAAGCATTGAGCTTGAAGTCAAGTTCTTTCTCATGCCTGCATGAAGCGAGAAGCTCCAGCCCTACAGCCAAGAAGTCATCTTGTCCATCAAGACAGATGCTGCTTATACAGGGAACATGGATGGTCAAGGAGTGGAACCCATGGCCTAGCTCGAACCTAGCTATGGCAGATCCTTCTCTGATTCGCCCGTTGAATGACAACTAGTTAAAGGTCCAAGATGCTGGAATTGGCTTGCAGGGTGTGGAAGGAGCTTTCTGGTGCTGACGGTAAGAAAGCTGGTCAGCGTCGGGTCTCCTGGGGCTCATTAGCCAGACCATCTCCCCTCCCACCCTCAATCTTGGTGTATTCTCAACCATTCTCAGCCCCCGATTTACATTCGCCGGGATAAAGAGAGACCAAACGAGTCTGACGATGCTCCTTCTACCAACAACAAGAGCCGTAATACACATGTCAACACTTCGGGCACGCTACCAGATGAAGACATGCGGGAAGCCCGAGACGCGAGTGAATGTTACCCCAACCTGGAATCCACTTCGCACGAGTTGTTGCTGGTTGTTTAACGAACTCAAGAAGCAGCAAAGAATTGAAAGACTACAACCTACGCAAGATGCAGGTAAGTGCTCTAAAGAATAAAGGCAGAACGTTATCAGACACTAACGGGGGGTCAAACATACAGGAGCGTATCCAGTATATTGTCACTTTGTCCTCTCAGCGAGATCAGATGTCGATTACGACCCTATTCTGCCGATGGCAACTCCGATTCTGAGCGTTCTGAACCCAAAATCAACACCAAGCATCCCCAAGAGGGCTCTGGTTCAACAGGAGGTTTCGCCGGCCACATTCAAGAGTTTTCGGGCGAATCAGCTGCTGCCCCTCAAACGAGGGAACAGATCAACTCCGAGAAATCGATTGAGCCATCTTATTATCAACATCATGCGAAGCCTTATGGCTACCCCGATCGAGAACATGGTTGCCCTTAAGAAGAGTTGCGGGATCAAGACTTCTTTTGGACATTTGAGGGAGGTTTCTAGAGAGAAGCAGTTGTTTGGGCGGGAATAATGAAAGTCAAAGCTTGAGTCGGGGCGATGCATCAAGACATTTGTACTCTGATCATGTCTTGCAAACCGATCCTGCTGCGGGATGGTATTTGCGTTTGTGAGTGCAGCCGCTAAAGTATAAGTTTCAACAGACTACTTACTCTTTTCTCTATTGTAGGGGCAGGCAGAGCCTATTACCTCACGTCCTGATGCTGGCGCCTATCGAAAAAGACTAAGCGGAGCACAACTTCATACGACCAACCTTCGTCCAAACACCCTGTTGATTCTCGGTCCGCGTCTACTCCTTTATTGCCCGATATCACCCTTTCTCTAGAACATTCGAACCTCGTCAAGACCCTCTTCCCGTTCGTCAAGGAGACAGCAAACAGCTGCCAGAAGTAACAGAGATTCTAATTCCCTCTAAGGTCTAGTATGTAGTATGCATGTTATCTTTTTTAACCATCACGCCATCTTAACTCTTCCAGACCCGAATCTCCAGCCATAGCTTATCTCCTAGCGCCGGACTGAAATACCAAAAAGCGGATAGCCACGAATTGATGACGCGGCTTTCTAGTATATCGTATATGAACTTTGCTTTTCGCGAATGCCGATCTGCGATCTGATAAAAATTTCCCGATATAGTCTATTTCTTCCCACTTCTCCTACCAGGGTGCCTCTCCAGAATGCGTCCGCCATCGCTCCTCCCGCTATTCGGGCTTCTAGGCTTATCATGCGCCCACTCAGCCGCCCCAGGCACCGAGCTAAAAAATGCAAATCACATTTTCAACGTGATCCACGACTCAATGCGCCAGTGGGGCTCGTCTCTGCATCATAATGGAGTGTCGTTCTTCCTCGCGGGTGTTCCCGCCGGTACACAATTCTACCATGGGACCTCCAGGGCCAGCCCAGTGAATGGCACCGAATGGTTGGCGTTTGAGCCCGAACATGCCATGGTCTTCGCCCGGCCGGGACACGGCCCCACGCCACAGCTACCGTCCGACGATCCTGATACCGAGCGACATGGTGGAAGTCATGGTGAGCTGCGGAAGCGGGAACATCATGGCCCGCCAGGTGAGGGCCCGCTAAAGGCATTTGATGAAAATGAGGCCGGGTATTTGCATACCTATACTGCAGCCAAGGATCTCCGTCTCCTATATCTTGACGGTATGTCTGCTGCCAAGACATCGAAGGGCACGCTTGATTCTCAGGATGCGGTTTTGTTCAACGGCTTGCTTGAAGATCATCCGAGTCCGGGTGGGCAAGAGAGTGAACGCGCCAGACTATCTTGCGAGATGGCACAAAATGAATGGGAGGGTCGCATTGACGGCGTGCTGCGCATGGAAGCTGGCTTTGAGATTATCCTGTGCGATTTTGAGCGCGATCTAATTCCCGTGCGAATCATGCAGATCAAGCAAAGCTCCGAGGAACATCATGGGCCTAGAGGTGACGGTAACCATGGTGACCGGGATGGTCCTCGCAAAGAGGGTGATGACAAGCACCACGACGGTCATGGCCCACACAAGGAGGACGATGGAAAGAGACACCGTGCCGGTGGCCCTGGTGGTCCTAGAGGACCTCCCCATGGCGGACCTGGAAATGGGCCGGACGCCTCGCGCTGGATGCGTGCAATAACCGCACGCTACGACGGGATCGGTGGAAAGCGAGTTTCGCTGAACTTCAACCACTTTGTGACAGCTTTCTCCCACAACGTAGAGCTCTTCGAAGGCAATTCAACCCTTCCCCGACTTGTCAACCTCTCTCCTGAGGAGCGCGCTGCCATCCGTGCCGAAGTCACGACTCTGGTCATGACGCATCATCCCGCCGAACTCTGCGAGGACTGGCAGGCGATCACGGATATGATCGTGACTCGGTACAGCAAGGAGCTGTCATACTTTTTTTCCAGTAGCTTTGATTCAATTGAGCAACTGCAGTCTGAGATTGGGCGTGTTCTGTCTCCGTTCATTGACTACAGTGGACGGGATGATATCTCTGAGATTGAGCGTTGTGCAACACAGTTCTTACCGCCGTCATCTTTGGAGAGTGGCGGTATTGCGGCGCATGCTGTTCACGGTGTTGCTCATAAAATTTGTTCGTCTCTGGTTGAGGCTGGCAAGGAGCAGGATCTTGAGTCTGCGGTCCAGGTTGTTCGGGATCTGGTTGGTTATCTTGATTGGGGGACGTGGAAGGAGTGCCGGGGTTGTGCGGTGAATGAAATTTGTGTCGTACCTATTTGGCCCATGGGTACGGTCCAGGACTATGATAGCCCACAGTGCAAGGATGCGTCAAATCCATACGATCAGGATGGAGAGACTTACTGGGGTGGAATGCATCGCTGAGTGACCTTTGGATCGGCAGTCTATTTTTTTGGGGAGTTCGTTCTGGACAACTTTACAGCGAAAGTCGCCGCTCGTCATGGTTGGCTTAATTCAGACATATAGTAAATTTATCAAGGGTATATACAATACAGAACATAATGATACTCAAGAAGTATGTAAAAGGGAGACCATTGTGTTCGTCATTGTTGCATGCGCTAGTTCCAAAGCAGACCACGGGGTCGTATTCCCATTATATAAAATATGGAATTGGTGAATGGTAGAAGAGAACGATCAGATCCCATCAAGGGTAGAAATTTACAGGGGGAGAGCACCCTTAGCGGAGGAGACGGAGGAGACGATGGAGCCGACGGCAGTGCCGACGCTGCCGAGGCCAAGAGTGGAGAGGAGACCCTGGACAAGGCCTTCAACCTTAATCAGAAGGACGGAAGCCTTGTCCTCAGCGTTGACAGCAATGAAGTCAGCACCGGGGATGTTGGGGATCTTGGACTTGAGCTCGGAGACGGTGGGGGCAATGGCGACGACGTTTCCGATGGGGCCCTGAACGGTGGAGAGGTCAAGACCGCCGAGCAGACCGAGGACAGTAGGCTCAATCTGGAAGAGAAGGTTCTCGCCACCGGCGAGGCCGTTAACATCAGTGACGGAGAGAACGTTCTGGAGGGAGTCGACGCGCTTGACGTTGCCAGTGACGGACTCGAGGCCACCGACGATGGAGCCGAGAAGGTTACCGACCTGGCCGAGGCCAAGGCTGGAGAGGAGATCGACGACTTCCTTGGTCAGCTCGATGAGGACGGCGTTACCATTGTCGAGGATGGCGGTGACCTTGGTGAGGCCGGAGCCGCTGCTGGTGTCGAGCTGGTCGACGGACTCGGCGGTCTGGATGACCTGGCCAACGGGCTTCTCGAGAGCGCTGACGGGCAGCTTGCTCATCAGGCTCTGGAGCTCGGACTCGGCCATCATCTTGAAGTCAGAGGTTCCGGCCTGGTTGAGGATGGAAAGAAGCTGGCCGGGAGCGGCGCCCTTGAGGGTGGAAAGAGCCTGGCCGGGAGCGGCGCCCTTGAGGGTGGAAAGAAGCTGGCCGGGAGCGGCTCCCTTGAGGGTGGAAAGAAGCTGGCCGGGACCGGCGCCCTCGGTCAGGCCGGAGGCGGCACCGGTAGGAATGGGCAAGGCGGACAGCGAGGAGGATGCGGCAGCACCGGGGCAAGTAGGGATCAAAGATACCACGGGCAGAGGGATGCCGGAGGGGATGACGCCGGAGGGCAGGCAAGAGGGGACTCCGGAGGGCAAAGCGCCGGTGGTGCCCGAAGGGATGTTGGCAAGGTTGGCGAGGTTGGCGGGCATGGCCATAGCAGTTGAGGCCAGAATGGCGGCGGAGAAGGCGAAAGACTTCATCTTGTCGTTTAGTGAGTGGAATAAGTTCAAAGACTTGTTTGGTAAAATGAATGGACGGTATGAACCGAGATCAAAGAATGACTATTGGTAAGGAATGACAAGAAGAAAGTTCTTAGAGCTCAAGCATAATGGCAAGACGTCTCGTGTTATATACGAACGCTGCTGGTAGGGGATCAGCGTTGATGTGAGTCCGCCCCTCCTATTTTGACGTCGTTGATTGTACTCCTGAGCTAACAGGTGCCTTGACAGAGGGGCCGCTCGTCTCGCAAATGAGTCCAATGGGGAGAATGGAGCAAATAGCGTTCCTATCTAATATACCAAGATATAAGCTTCACGCTGAGTGGCTAATGCTGCCGCCGCCACACAATATTGGGTCCGGCAGACAGTGTTAGTTCCGCTACAAGCTTAATACGATGTCCATCCTCATTAGCCATTTTGCAGATCATTCATTCGGCGCCACAACAAAGCCGAAGTAGTTCCCGCTCCAACTTTCAGGGTCCAAGATATCGATGACACGGTCGTCTTTATTGGTCAAATCCAACTCATTTTTTAGTCAGGAAAATCCCTGAGGCATAAAAAGAAGTATCCCCATTATAGGACTACGCTTGCCACATATTCTGTTCAGCCGTCAAATTACTCCGTACTCCGTAACACCAGGATAATGAGGGCTCCCAGCCCAAATTCACCGGCGCTTTTTATTGATAGCGTCGTGGGCAGTGAACCTTAAGACGTCAAGCCGGGATCGACACAACTAGTCCCAACTTTGCTGATCAGACTGGTCAATGATTGGTGATCTCCTGTGCTAAGGTCGCGTGAGATCAGCAACCTATCTGCCAAAAGGAACTGTACCAAGAAGGTTAAACTCGACGTGGGCAACATTAATGCTGATTGCAATCTTATTCCTCCACAGTGGGTTAAAAGGTCAAATAGTCCAGTGGACCCTGGGCGCCGTTCAATTGCGGTGAGTTCTTTGTTTGCACTCCGGAGAAACGGAGGATTGGGCACTGGTGATGATATCATTATTGTGTCTGACTACGGAGTAGTGGGATATCTTCGGGATTGACAGGGGCTACCAAACCCCCCGGGCCGGGATGGATGTAGATATTTACTACTCGGTATGTTGTACTTCGTACTCCGTACTCGGGTAGTGTTAATACAATTTCAATCTTCCAAATTGAAGGTAAATCGAAATATTCGATGTCAAAAAAAAATAGAAAGGGGACAAAGTCAAAAGCCGTTAAGTTTTGGAATTTAATCTCTGAATGGATCCCCGGGGAAACTCAGGGGTAACCTTACTCCACACCTTTCGATAATTTATTAATATTTACGGAGGAGTAAATGTTATTTTATTATGTTTTGATATGTTCTGCCCATTGGTGTCTTCAGTACGGAGTCGATTCTGTATAAGATGTTCTTTACTCCGTACGGAGTCCATACTCAATAACTCAGGCAACAACAAACAACAGTGGAGCAGATCGCCCTTGACATTGCCTCAAACATGAAGTACAAACCTAATTCAAATCTTCCGCTTCCAAGGTTCTGGAAGGTGGGGGCATAGGAGGGTATACCTGATATGTTGTACTCCGTAGCTAGTCCGTATGTTGTGGGTTGTACGGAGTATACGGAGTACGAAGTATCAATTTTTGTACAACTTTATCCTGGTAAACAAATGTGCGACGAGGTGGATATTCACGACTGCGCAGGTTCTCCAACTTCGCTTCTGCCGTATTTCTTCAGTAATAACAACTTACTTAGACAAAATCTTTCTTCGGCGGCTTCAGCGACCACTATCGCGGCGGTTTGAATGTTACCGGTCGGGAGGTCGGGATGGATACTGGCATCAACAATGAACTGTGAGAAAAGGGATTAGCATCATCTTTTGAACTGAACTATTCTGGGTCACATACCAGGTCATCCACTCCGTAAACCTTGGTATTAGTATCAACAACGGAAGTGCCGTTCTTACGTCCATCATCGGTGCCCATCTTCGCAGTGCTGAGGTAGTGCGTACCAGGGGTCTGGGACTTCAAGATGGCCGAGACATTGCTGTAAGTTTCAAGCTCAAAACCGGTGGAGGGAGCGGTGATGTCGTCGACCATTTTCAGACTAAAAGTGCAGGCGGCTTTCCGGTCAGCAGCGGTCTGGAGGTAGGGCGACTTCTCAATGAAAGTCTTTCCGCTGACATCAAGCCCCAGTACACCGGATGACGTGAGGCCGTGGGTCAGGTTCGTGGTGATGGCTACCACGCCGTCCTCAGTAGGGCACAGGAGCCCCGGTCGTACTGGGTGTGGCCATCAATCTCCTCCGAAGTGAAGAAGATCATGCGGTGCTTGCCCTGGGTCAGGACACCGCTGCGCTTGCGGTAGAGGGAGATATCGCGGGCGTCGGTTCCACTAAGTACACCTTCGTAATCAACGAAACCAAATGATGCTTTGGTGTTGAAGATGACAGAGAAAATGGGGTTGTCATTGAGACCAACACCCACAGGTAGGTCAATCCACTGAGCCTTGTCAGGAACGGCAGCACCACTCTTCTTCGCAGTCTCGATCTGGGCCTTGCCACCAATTCCAGAGTTCGACAACAGACGCGGAGTAGACAGAGCGCCGGCAGCCAGCGCCACACGACCGTGACCGTGAGGAGCAACAGTGATGACTCGGAGCGGCCCGAGGCAGTCTGAACCTCGACGCCAGTAGCTCGGCGGAGCTAACCTGGCGACGATGTAGGAGCTAAAAGTAGGTATAATTTCGATAACTAGTCTAGATAGAGCCCGAAAAGAGTGCGTAAGGGCTCTTATAAAACTGTGTAATCCAATACCTTCGTCCATATATATCTCTGAAGTTCAAGCTTTATCTGCTGCAGATGTCTTCTCCCTGCACGTCTTTACTATAGCATTTCTCCCTATAACGAATTCGAACGATTAGGCAAGCTTCCTTCGAACTCAATTCAATCAAAAGTGGACTAATCAGAGCCATACACTAAGAGTGCAGCATAGAAATTGATGCCGTGCGCGATGGATCATTTTGCTTGTGTTTTGAGTTGAACAGGTACATGACCAGTTCCGAAATACATATGTATGAGTAGGGGTCAAAATGATTCCAAGTAATAGCTATTTACAGCAACAAGCATTGAAATATCGATGGTCTCGCAAATTCCGTCTGGAATCTGGAGAAGACGGGGAAGATGAGGGGGAGTCAACAAAAAGAGTGGGGCCAACCACGCCGCTCGACATCTCCAACACCCCTTGTATCAACCGAGATCACTCTTCTCTCCACCTACAAAATGTCGGGCCCAGCCACCCGCCTTATACCGGCGTCTTCGCGCACTCTTCTCCTCACCTTCGACGCGTTCGGCACCCTCTTCCACCCGCGTCTCCCCGTTCCCGAGCAATATGCCGCAACCGCGCACCAATTCGGATTATCGCGCACTGCCATCACCCCGGACAAACTCAAAACCGCATTCCGGGACACCTTTCGTGCGCAGATGCATCAATACCCAAATTACGGTCGCGCGGATGTTCTCCGAGGCCAATACGCGGGGCCGAGGCAGTGGTGGGAAGAGGTGATCAAGGGGAGTTTTAGGCGTGTTTTGTCTGCAGAGAATGGGGAGACGCATCCTGAAACCCCCAAAGAACATGTTCCTGATGGCATGGTGGAAGCCTTACTAGATCGATTTGCTGGTGCCGAGGGGTATGCGCTTTATGACGATGTGCTGCCCTTCTTCCACCGAATGCACAAACTGAAGTCCGCGCATAAGTGGTCGTTTGATAGGATAATTGTGGGGGTGGTATCCAATTCAGACGACCGCGTCCCCGTTGTGCTGAAGTCGTTGGGGTTGACAGTTGGTGATATGCGCGCCGACCAGGATCAATCGAGTATGGATCTTCCCGGGTTTGAGGTACGAAGTATCAAAAAAGATGTTACAGGGGAGCACGACAAAGCTCATGCAGACTGCAACTTGGACCTCGACATTGATATGGTTATTACGAGCTATGAGGCCGGCCAAGAGAAACCTCATCGCTTGATCTTTGACGTGGCGAGACGGCAGGCTCTGAAGGTTGCCCGTCCATGGTTGACTAGCAGAACCAAATTTAAATCCGTGCATGTGGGAGATGATTTTAAAAAGGATTATCAGGGTGCAAGGGATGCAGGCTGGGAGAGCTACTTGCTTCCTCGAGATTCTCATGGTGCCGATAAATTTGAAGCGAAACAATTCCCAAATCTTCTGAAGTTGGCTGATAAATTGGAGCTTTTCCCATAAAAGCCCTTGTCTACAGACGGCAGATGCACAGTTGAACTTGATCAACGTCAATCATCGATATCGACAAACTATATCGAATCACAAGTTAAGATACCTTCGAAGTTCCCTGAGCTCTAGGAAACAGATATTCGTTATGTCCCAAACTGGCACAACAACAAAATACAGAACTCTCGAGAGATCACGAGTCTGCGCTCTTCACAGTCAGGCTTCAGCACAGTGCTTCGCCTTTTGAAACACGTCACACACCACCTTTCTCTCTGCCATTGAAGGTTCCTTGGTAGCTTTAATCTGGTCCCTGAGAAGTTTTGCTGTCCGATCCCGCTGACATTTTTTTTCTCTTCCACCAGCGCTCAAAACGCAGTCTCGAGGCCAAGCTGTAAACTTGTACCGGCGCCCTGACACATCTGTGAATGGAACTGAAGATGCTCGCCTATTGCCTATTCTTGTCGATACAGCTGGATGAACTGCCGGTTTCTGTTTCGGTGTATTCGCATCTACCAACAGAGTCTATTCAGTCGGACGACCTGGCAGCATGAAATCTAATTGGGAACCGAAGGAAACGTCCGAAGGACCTCGCTTGAGATGGAACTGACTAGCTTTGGCCCTTTTTCAGTTGACGTCAATGTGGTTGTAATGCTCGAACTCTCACAAACTCAGTCATGCTGTGAAGGAGCACATAGCAATGGAAACATGCATGTCGTGGACTCCAACAAGTGAGCCCTGACAGATAGGAAAATTGTGCCTATTGCAAAAGGATTGTGTATTTAGTTCGCGACTCTTCCATATACAAACTTTTCATCCTTTATTCAAGACAAGAAAATAGTCAGCCGCTTATGAAGCCGTAGTCTGGTGGTCTTCTCAGGTAGTCTTCTCCGGTAGTCTTTCTAGATGCCTGGTTATATAGATATTTTCACCCCGAAGACAGCAGAAAAGGACCAAAGAAGGCTGAATTGTGAAATGGGCCATTCACGCTAATTGGACCCTAAAAGACGCTAGGGCCTACATCTCTGATATATTTTCCCCTTTACAAAACAACAAATTGCGCCGGAATTCCGCTCGGCAACTCCATCGCAGCCATGAGCACCTCGTCTCCTCCCACTCCGCCATCAAGGGCCTTAATAGATGACGAACAGAGATTTAAAACCATTACATTACCCTGTGAGTGGGTAGAGGAGTACTGCCCAGGTGGTTATCATCCAGTCGTTCTCGGTGACGTCTTCAACCACCAGTACAAGGTCATCCGGAAGCTTGGCGAGGGCTCTTACTCAACGGTTTGGCTCGCCCATGACCTGAAGTAAGTTCATCTTCTGCATTTTCTACCCATGACGGCTATAGATTATCGTTACTCATTCCTCTAAGAAACAGTGGATATGTCGCGCTAAAGATCCTTGTGTCGGAAATCTCGGGATCGACCACTGAGCTACGGATCTTATGCCACCTCACCGAAGTTGCACCAGTGGAAGGAACCCGGCATATCACGCGACTGCTAGGCGAGTTCGAACACCGCGGACCCAATGGCGTCCACAAGTGCCTGGTATTTGAGCCCATGGGTCCAAGTGTGAATAGTATGGTCGAGGAGCTGCCGCAGTTCAACCCTCGCAGGCTAGGAATGAAGATCCGCTATCCGCTTCGAATGGCAAAGAGCATCCTCAAGCAATCCTTGCAGGCTCTTGCATTTCTCCACGAAAATGGTATCGCCCATGGAGACTTCCAGCCGGGAAACATACTCTTCACTCTTAAGGATATCGACTCGACGGCCGAGGACTTGCTCCGGCAAGAGGAAGATGTGCAAGCCCAGTCGATCTCGCCCCCTGTACAGAGGCTAGACGGCAAAGAAGATAAATGGGCTCCTCGATATCTTTGCGCTGCGCAGCCACTTGCGCCCTTTAACTACCACGCCGAAGGGTTTAAGGTCAAATTATCCGATATGGGCGGTGGTGAGTCCATCCCGTTTCGATTATTTCTTCCTTCTTCTTGACGAATATCTATACTCATATCTGACTGCCTTGGATAGCATATTTCTTTACCGATCCGCCAAAAAAGCCCGTCACCCCACGCGGTCTTCGAGCTCCCGAGTTGATTCTTACCGGTGCTGTCAACAATACACTTGATGTGTGGAGTTTTGGTTGCCTTATCTTTGAGCTTATCACCGGACAGCCACTCTTCTGCATACCGTACTCATGTTCTAAGATGGCAGATGACGATCATCTCCTCTCCCTCACCGCCCAGCTGGGCGCCCTCCCCGACGAGCTCTTCAAGCATTGGACAACCTCGTCACTGTACTTTACGCCCGAGAGGAAGCTCTTTAATTGTCAGCTTGGAGGAGTGGCTCCGGGGGAGGAACCGCTTATGGTGGAGGAGACATCCATGGAAGAGTTATTCGATCGGGCAGGCCCGGATCTTGATGAGGAGGAAGCTCACAAAGTGAAGGCGCTCATTCGATGGATTCTGCAATATGATCCCGCGAAGAGACCCTCACCTGCGAAAATCTTATCTGATCCATGGTTCTGCGAGATTGACGTTGAGAGCGACTCGTCCAAGGCAAATACAGTCTAGTATCTGCGTGGTACTCCGCTTATAGTCCGTGGTGTTGCGTATCTGGGTTCGGGACAATCTCCAGGTCAAATCAGAACTACCTCAGTACCACGTATACTAAGCCCATGGCTCTGTATCAAACCCGGTATCTCGCATTATCGACTCTTGAGTCATTGTGGTTTAGTCAATATCCAGCTTGCATGATGCGTGGCCTCTGCATAACTTCTTCCAGCTAGAACCGGGTTCTTTTCTTTATTCGAATATCACGGCGCATATTACACCGGAGAGGTCCATTTAGTTCCTTATGTCTATCTAAATACCTATTAGGATAGGATCGTTGTCTATTCTCTCGGACGATCTGGTAGTATCAAACTGTCGAAGCGCCACCCTCCATATGTGGTTAACCAGCTTTAGCCATTTATTACCATAGAGGAGCATAAAGTAATAGAAATCATATATGTCCTATCTAACATCTGAGGGCTCCGGCAGGTAGAAAATTATATTCAAAAAGATAGTGTATTTGGTTCGCGACTCTTGCATTTCTTACAAAGCTTCTTACTCATTGATCGCAAGACAGGGATTGATTAGACTTTTGCGATACGCTTCTACCAAATTATTCTATAAGGACTGTCAAATCGAAAATGGTTAGTTCCATGAAGTTGATTACCTCGGGACTGACATATCTGCCATATCCCGTACACCCCGCATATCCCGGGCGCGGCACCGAACTGCGCATTGAACTCCGAACTCATATTGAGATATCTATCCTCTTGCACTGTGGAATTTTCCCGAAACGGTCACGAATTGATCCTGTTTTATTACCACACAATCCATCACAGTAGTCTTGAAACTCAGCGGGGAACCTGTTTCGACATTGAAGATGGAAGGTGTTGAAAAGCCACAAGGGTCCGTCGTAATCATCGGAGCTGGTACTCAAGGTAGACGTCTTGCGCACATGGTAAGTGGTGATATTCGGGACCATAAACATCTGTCTTATTTAACGTGTTGAAGTGGTCAAGCCGAGGCGGCACCGTCCATCTGGTAGATCTCCAAGAGCAACAGCTCCAAGATGGTCTGAAGTACGTGGAGCAACTTCGCGCGGATGCTACAGACCATGAAGGAGATTGGGGGAAGGTTGAGACTTCCCAGCCCTCTTCTTTGCAATCTACACTGGAAGATGCATGGCTCGTTGTCGAGGTACGACTTGACTCTTTACCGATATCACCAATTGATTAACACGACATTAAATCAGTGCGTGCCGGAGAACTTGAAGCTAAAGCGAAAAGTGATCGCTGAACTTGATGAGCTTGCACCTGAAGGCACAATCATTGCTTCGAACTCGAGTAGCTACGGAATCTTTGAGATTATCGAGGGCATGAGCTTGAAAAACAACAACAGAGTTATGAGCGCGCACTGCTGTAAGTGACTATTCAATGCTAAATGCGATACTTCGCTAACACCTTGGGTCAGATTGGCCACCGGAGACATCCGGTAATGCCTATTTCGAATTATATCCTCTTCCTGTTCGATATGCTAACTTGGAAGTCAGCAATTGAAATCATGGGCCACAAGGATAGCGATCCAAAGCTGATTGATCTCGTCCTGGAGCAATGTAAAGAACATGGATTCTCACCTTTCCACGTCAAAGAAAACTCTATCGGCTACATATACAACAGGTGAGTTCTTCTTCTCTCTCTGTTACTGCACGATCAGGCTTGTAACAATCTTCAAGAATTTGGGCTGCTATCAAGCGGGAGACTCTTCTCGCGTTGTCCGAAGGTGTTGCCACACCCAAAGAAATCGATGCCATTTTCAAAGACGTCCTGAAGACGCCCAAGGGTCCATGTGAACAGATGGATGTTGTCGGCTTGGATGTTGTGTTGGATATTGAGAATCACTACGCTGAATCTCGGAGTGGTATTCCTACAGAGCCGCGGGACTACCTTCGGGAGATGATTCAAGGTGGAAGTCTGGGCGTCAAGAATGGCCGAGGATTTTACGACTATGAAGAACAAAAGAAATGAATTGTTCTATAGTTTCCATAGTCCATATTGATCATGGCACCTTTCGCATCGAAAGGTTCATTTACGCCGACGGGGAGGGCATTCACATCACCAACGAATCAGCTCTCCGATTTGCCTGTTGCTTCAGCATCATTGGTCTAGTGGTAGAATTCGTCGTTGCCATCGACGAGGCCCGTGTTCGATTCACGGATGATGCACTACAATTTTTTTTTTTTTTTTGT